ATTCCAGTTGCTGACTATAGATCTCTGCGTTGACAGTTCGCTGTGGATTGAGGAGTTTGAAATGGATTACTCCTTTGATGTGCTACCAAATGCAAAGCATCACTTTCTGCAGATGGAGTCCAGGTATTGGGGTCGTAAATGGTTTTTGTCTAGCACTGAGCCATTGTTTTTGTCATTTAATATTTGCATAGAGAATCCATTTTTCATCAACGATGACAATTCTGTCCAAAAATGGTTCACAAGCATTACGAGCCAGAAGAGACAAGCAACGTTCACACATTGGAAATGATGATCATTGGAAAGTTCATGAGGCACCCAACCACCTTCTTTATGAAGTTTTCCCATATTCCTTAGATGTTTACATATTGTTTCATGAGTGTGTTGCCTTGGTCTAGACTAAACAAGCATCTTCAGAGCGTCAATATCAATTCCAACATGTTGGCCCCTGCCATCACAGTTTTTAAGGCTAAAGTCACCTGAATGAAATTTGCTGAACCATCGTTGACACTTACGAATGTTCAAAACATTTCCATAAACTTCTTTGATATTCTTTGTGGCTACAGAGGCATGGTTTCCCTTCTTGTATTCAAACAGCATTACATGCCGAATGTGTCTCGTTGTGTGGCATCACTGCAAGGGATTAGAGTATACTAAACTTTACATATTATATAGGCTACACTAACGTGACGTTTAGACAGTTCATTAAACTATTATACGTGATGTACAGCAAATAAAAAGAAGGCCCAGATAAGCACTTTATTTCTTGTTTATGTGTATTCTTTATTTATTATTATATAAGTGACTAAAATGTAAAAATAAGAAACTCTACATTTGTTAAGGTTAGATTAGGTAAAATAAATAATATTAATAATATAATAAAAAATTTTGTATGAGGCATTCACGCAAGCAGCTTGGAGGTTATGTAGTTCAACAGCATAACATGAGCTGCATGTTCCCCAAGTGATTTACAACTTATAATATAATGGTACGAATAATACTAGTAGTTAAACCCTGTTCAAAGGGCAATAAAATAATAAAATATAAGTATATATAGATGTATACTGTTACGAGTTTAAAGCTACTTAGGATAAACAATCGTAGTTTCATGTTACAATTTGAAGTCATTTCTAGAAAGAAAAAATGGATAATTTAGATTTATTTTAATTTTTTTTTGGTTGTTACGAGTTCAGTCAAATTCACCAACCTTGTATAGAGTTAGCGTAGAGAAAATAATCACAATAAAATATAAAGTTTTATTGAAAAAAAAACGTTTGAAGTGTATTTAGAAGGTTTTATAGATTATGCAAATAACGTGAGATATTTGAAAATGAAGAAAAGTATTCTTAATCTTAACATGAAAAACATTTTGCACTCGGATTGGTAAAGAAAAGACTCAAAATTCTCAGACAAATCTTTAGTAAAAATACTTCATTAAAAAACTGATTTGTGTACAAACAACTTGTAACGTTTACAAAAAAAACCTGCCAAATTTTGTGAAGATACACATATTGTAATAAAAATTATAGTATTAAAACTATGTACAAGTGAAAATTATCACATGGTCTGTTCTTGGGACCTTGTCCGTATTGAGAGTTCGTAACCAGCCCAATGCTAAATGTGCAGTGCATGTACTGTATGTACGTACTCTAGTTGGTTTGGTTGTGGGCACTGACCAGGTGCACTCCAAACATCATGAACAGACTATTACAAAGTGTATGTGTAATGCACATGAAAAAGTGTGAAAATACTGTATCATTTGGGACATTCTGAGAAATGAACTTTAGCTTTGGTATGTCAAACCGAAATGTTTTGGCACTTTCACTGTGTTGTTGGAGGTTTCAAAGACAACATACAAGAGAAACGAATGATTCGCACATTATGCTAAGCAAAGAGGAAAGCAATTTGCAACTGGGGTTGGTTTGATTTGCAAATTGTGATACAAACATGGACATTTTGTTCCCTGACATATGAAAGCACAATGCAGTTTAATGCTGAACTAACTAAATAATTTTTTTGGGAACAATTAGTGGAAGATAATAATTCTCATTAAAACTTTCCAAAATTAAAAAAAAAAATTCTTCAGTAGCTAAAAGCAAACATGATAAAAAAAATACTAATATTGGAAGAAACTATAAATTAGTCTAACTTTATTTTCAATTTGCATAAAACACTCGTAAGTTTATGTGATCTGATGTGATTGTGTTAACAAAATAAAAACACTACAAGAACAACAAAATTATTTCTTATATGGTTTTACAATAACTTTGATTTTCATATATAAAAACATTTTACATTTCCAAACTAACTATAAGCTATTCCATCAGATTAAAAAATGGAAAAAAGTTTCAAGAAACCTGTTAAAGCAGCAGAGTGCCAGCCTCCAGCAGCAACAGATGTGACTACTAGTCCCTCTAAAGCTTCCACAACTCGAGGTTCAGCTACTTCATCTAGTGTACCATGCCCTAGCTGTCCACGGCTACAAATTGAGAAAGATATACAAATGAGGAAACTGTACATATACTTATAGTATTTTGGCACTTGTGTATACAGTTAAAATCATAAATAATATTCAATGGTAAACTGGTACACAATTAAAAACATTTTATTTTGGCCTATCTATGGCCTTCAAAAAGTTGACAAGTCTACATGTTTCGACATTACATCATCATCCTCAGTACCAGTTTAACGTTGAATATTATTTATGATTTTGTACATATACTGTAATAAACCCAATTCATTTCCACAAAATACATAACATAAATCAAGAATATTCATTGTTTTAAAAAACATGTATAATTCTGCAGTTTTGTCACAGTCTATACAAATCATGGTCACAACAACCAAGAAGCAACCAAAGTAACACTCAATAATAACTACTGTCACAACAGACAAAAAGTAACAAACACCACAGTCAATAATAAATATGGTCACAAAAGATAAGTAACTATCTCCAAAAATCTTTTCTCTCTCTTTTTTTTTTCTTTCGAAAATTATTATAATCTCCAAAATTAATATTTTACAGCATTTCACTTAAGCAATCATAAAATAATATACATTTTCCTTTGCTAATGAAATCATAAGTTTTACAGGTGACAAACAAATATGTACATCTAAGTTCAATAAGGATCATCTAATCATCTTGCTACTATGTCATTTCCACTCAATTCTTAATGTGAAACTAAAGTTAAGCATCACCCATCTCTAATACATTTGCTAGAACCAATTTAATTTATATTGTCCGAATCAGCTTGAATTCTTTGCACTTATTAAAATATATATATATATATATATATATAT